ACCAGAATGAAGCAAAAAGCATTCCATGTATTCTCTTAATACCCTTTCCTTACCCTTCATATAAGACATGAGTTTTGGAATAGATTTTGTAGTGAATGTATGCTTTGTGCCGTAATAACGGAAATAGTATTATGAACAGTATATAATATTGTTATAAATAGACTGCGCCTGTTTTTGACGAATTTGTTGTCTTCTGAAGCAATTTAGTGCAGAAGTATTACATTGCAGAAAGAGCACGAGACTTATCAGATCCCTTGTAGTAAAGCTTGAGACATATGAGAATTCTCGTGTTTTCATACGGTGTAAATATACTTATGAGACACAAAAATATCTTTAAATGAACTTACTAGATTAATGATTGATATTATTGTATAAATATGCATATGAAGTCTATATTGTGTTTTATTGAAATTTCTAGTTTATTGGATTTAATTCCTTACATCTTCAATAAACGCATAAAATCCACAGTCTACTGGGATTTTTATATGTAATACATCTTGTAAGCTATCTAAAACACAATGAAATTGACATTTTATATGAAAATTAATGAATTTGTGATATTACCTTTAACCTACTAGAATCCTTAGAACGTAAGTTCTATATGATTATGATTTTCTAATTGAATTTGGAAATTTCTAAATTGAAATGAACATCTATTGTCTAATAATTTGATAATTGGGTAATCTTGTAGGGTAATAAATAAGAGTAGTTAATAATATAGAAAATTTATCTCCATTGTAGGGGTCTACGAGAACTATACACGAAAAATTAAAATATCTGTCTAAAAATTATATTTCTGTTCTTTTACTAATCAGTTTACTGGCTGGATAAAATTATCAAGTTCTCAGAATTACTTTCGTAATATTTAATATTCGCAGAACCTTATTTTTTATAGTCGAATCAGACAGAATTTTCAATTTCATTGAATTATCTGTATAAGTGTTTACACTGATGCAGTTTGCGTGTTTTCTTCGTCTACATATTTTCAGTTAAAAGAATATTTTATATTTGTTATCAGAGCGTTTAAGCTGAATGTGTTTAATGCTTTTTAATTGAATTGCATGCCTTTTTAAATTGATATGCATTTTCAACTACCCAGAAATTCATAGTTCGTTTGTTATATTTCTTCTCTTATCAAATAAGTGATTAAATACTTTCAAGTGGTAGTGTATAATATGATAACGATTGTTTTCGACCTATCATGTACCTAATTGTCCTTGAAGAGATATAATTTAATTACTTCTATTAAAAATATTTATGTAGTTTCATATATAATTTATAGAGTTTTATGTTGGTCACTCCAATCCAATTGATTAATATCACTATTAATCGATGATGATGTTATGAAATAAATTATTACTGAAATATGCTAGAAATATGGTAGACTGTATCATAGTTTTAAGTCATTTATAGAAAGTCAGGACAGTTTCGGAGCTAGATGTATGAGTACTGCACATTGAAAAAAAGACATTACCTATTTTCTCAACCCAATATTAATGGCGAGACAGCGGATTTTTGTATTTATAGCACACTCGATTACTTAAAACTCAATATAGAAGAGAGTTTTGTAAAGTTTAATAAGTTAACTTTATTTTACTTGTATTATGCGTGATATTATGCATTTGTAACATTCACAATTATCCAACATACAATATTGTCAAATAATTTAATGAAATTTACCAATCTTTGTATTTTAATTCAAATCGGGCAGAATCCTCCACAGAGTAAAACAGTTCTCATAAGTGAACCCATGAAAGTCTACATTTCACACTTCAAATCAGCGATCGAATGAAACTGTTAACTTTTATTTATAAAAGTTATTTACTGAACTTTTAACATTTCAATTATTTCTTTTCTGTTTTACTTTAATAAGTTAACTTTGTTATAAAAATTCAGTTATAACAGTTACTTTATATTTCAGGGATCGGTAAACCTTTTTTGTAAAGGGCCAAATAGTAAATATTTTAGCGACTAAGAGCGTTATAGCTAAGCACTCAGTAAATATTTTAGCGACTAAGAGCGTTATAGCTAAGCACCCGTTATACCGCGTACTTTGAAATTTTTTCTTAGCTCGCGGGCCGTACAAAATGAGATGGCAGCTGGACTTGGGTTTGCCGACCCCTGTTATATTCCATTAATAAAAGTTATGAATGATCATGTATTGTTCAGTAGATATTTGAAGGCAAAATATAAAAGCTAGAATTATTCTTTTAATTAACATTGTTTAAGCATTTGTGAATAGGATAAGTATAGAAAAGAAAGAAAATTGCGATTTTCATTCAATTATTTTACTTTACTAACAGTAAAAGGGTAAATAATTACAACGGTAAATAAAAACGAAAACATTCTAAGACTAGATATTTTTATTCATTTATGTATTCAACGAAAAATTTTCATACCACAACTTTAAGTTTTTCAAACCAGAATAAATGTTTCTGTTTAACTAAAACTTTTTCCAACTTCTACGAAAACAAGAGTTCTTTATTTATGCGAAAATAAAAGTTTCAGTAAACACACTACATTTTATAACTGTTTCCTTTTTGGAAACAAAATATTTAAATAACAGTCAATAAGTTACTATTATTTCATGACTAATTGAAAACTTGAACAGTTTCACTCAATCCCTACTTCAAACACCCAAAAGAAAGCCACTAAATTGTAAGTAGACAGTAAGTAGACTGTAAATACAGTCGCAACCAGCCACAAAACTTACCAGAACCATGCAAATTTAATTTCCCCCCTGTGTAGGAGCAGCAGTTCAACCCGTGGCTGTCACGAAATTATGTAAATTTGCTTTACAAGCCTGGGACACCGTTTATTCTTTTTCTTTTTTGTTTCTGATCCGGATCGGAATTCCGTCAGTTTCCAAGTTCGGATCCAGCTCCTAGACCTACGAGAAAGAGGTGGAAGTCGACCGGTCGTGCGAGATTCTCCTTATCGACGCGGGGCTGGGTCCCGTCTTCGGGCCCGTCCGTGGGCCCAAAATAGCGTCTTCGGGGCCCCACTTCGTGCCTTCGCAAGCGTCCACCATCGAAAAAGAAACGTAACCCTAGACGTATCGTGGTGTCATGTCCCGCGCACCTGGCGGCCTCGTTCTTTGTAACACGATACACGCGTTTCGTCTTCTTGTTCTTCTTCTTCTTCTTCTTCTTCTTCTTCTCCGTCGTCGTCGTCGTCGTCGTCGTCGTCGTCGTCGTCGTCGTCGTCGTCGTCGTCGTCGTCGTACCTTGCTGCCTGTTGTATCTCCCTCCTCTTCTTTCTACTCCGTTGGTGCCCTCCCCTCGCTGTCACGCCCGTTCCACGGGACGCTCGTGAAGAGTATCGATTGGAATGACGAAACAGAGATGTTCAGCGTTAATTAGTCCACGGAGACCTCCAAGGCCCACAGGCCCGGTCCCACAGATTTTGTAGATCGTTTGTGACCTAGCCCGCGATCTTCGCTGATAACTAATTTCTCTGATAATGATTGGAACTGATAAATGCAATGATGCATTTAACATTTTTTTTAGACCACGTTGTTCTAGAATGATGTAACTGAAAATTGAGTTTGCCGATTTGGGTCGTTGAATGTATTTCAAAGTGATATAGAAAATTCAAGTATTATAGTGAAATTATGTGAATGTTTTGTTATGTTAACTATATAGCATTTTAGATCTTTGAGTACTTTGTAAATTTTTATTCCATTGGGTCATTGAGAAGATATTTGTTTATTGTAAAGAAAGTCAAATAGTATTTATGCTTCGTAGCAAAGATAAGAGGGAAGTTTTTAATTTGATTTATAATGGAGGGAACGGTTGCAGTAATCTTACCAATAATAGTTTTAGTTTACCAGTCTAAGTTTGTCTAATGCATAAGCATGGTACTTCTAAAATGTTTCTAAAACTGGAAGTTTTATCGACACATACGTTTGACCTTCCTTATCAATATCTTCATATTAATTAGCAGTTTTTTTCTAATTATTGAAAAATGATTGAAAAATTTAAAAATACTCTACCACTTCTATTCAAATCCTTTTCCATCAAATAGAAAGAGAACGTTATTTGTACCATTACATTTGCAACTCAACTGTTGTTTATAGAATTGAACATCCTGTTTTTATCCCGATCAGTCAATTATTCTAAAATCATTAACACAAGACAAACAACTTGTAAAGTCACATACATTCTGAAATGTTCTTGTAACTATACCACAATTATTTCTTTCACGACTGGATCTACAAAACACGAGGTAGGATCTTAACAATAAGTTACCATAACTTTGCTTCAATAAATATCCATTTACAACAGAAAGTGTCTGGGTAGTCAAGACATCAGGTAAAACAACAGTTTAAAAAATAATATAATAAAAGTTTATTTTACACGTACAAAAATGAAACACAACGCGCCACGTAGGTACACAGTGTAAACGTGAAAAACGGTCCTCTTTATATATACTACTCCGGATACCTACACATATAAAAGGTCGTCCCTAATATAATTACGGATCTAACGAACGTTGATCCAAGAATAATATCATCATGACATACAAATAATAATTATAATCTAATATTAACAGTTATAGATACGTACGCAGGTAGATACACTAAGAATCAGAGGGGCCAGAGTGCATCATCGTGGTAAGTCCAACAGTGTCACCAGCCTCTATCAACATCCCGGGAGGCCAATAAACGGTTTCTAAATCTCGCGGAACAATTCAACCAAAAATCGCCTAGAAACATCGATCAGTCTCTTGTGTTCCGACTGCATGGCAACAAAAATTCCATTTTCCAGTGTTAACAAATCCTCGATTGGCACCACTTCGAAACAGTTCATTGTCCAAATCGAGTCGAGAAAGGACCAAGTCGCGACGCACGATTTTCCTTCACTGACAGAGACACGAAGACCTTTTGCAATTCCAGCAATTGCTGTTCCAAGATATCTTCGAAGAGGATCCAATTCGCCGCGGAACGTGCAAGCCAAAGGAAATTTGCTAGAAGAATGCGGCCGTTTCGGAGGGGGCCACTAGGATGTCTCCTGAAGCACAACGGTGCTGGAGCCAGGTACAGGGATCCCCGGCGGCGGCGGTGACGTCGATACGCCCAAATTATGAGTCAACGAGTGCCTCCTCAGGTCGCAGTTCCTACGGAAGACCTTGCCGCAGGAGGCGCAGTGGTACGGCTTGATGTCCGTGTGGGTCAGGAGATGAGTCTTCAGGTTGCTCCTCTGATTGAAGCTTCGGGCGCAGACGGGACACTTGTGCGGCGATTCCTCCATGTGCAGGATCTTGTGGACCGCCAGGGTCCTGCTCTGGCAGAAGCCTTTGCCGCACTCGGCGCATTTGAACGGCTTTTCCTTGCTGTGAATGTACCTGGAAAGGCAAAAATGAATCGTCACTGGTGCCGTTCTCTGTTTCTGAACGGATAAAAGATGATTAGGGGATAGCTTTAAAGTTATGAAAGTTTCTTTTGGGGGGTTGATCATGAGTGAATTATTAAATATTTTAAGTCGGATCTTGTTGATCAGTTTAAAGATGTGACTAATTGATTTGTTAAGGTTCTATTAATTAACCCTCGGATGACGAACGTGAATCACTAGAGATCCAGACTTTAGGCCTACATTAAAGCACAGATTGCAACGTTAATTTGGAATTTCGCCGTGAGTCATAAATGACCCGGTTCCACGTTGTATGGATCTGTTCTGTGGGTGTTATTGAGAAATATTAAGCCTTGTGCAGGTTTCCGAAGAGAAGCACATTTATGACCCATTATCATTTATATTTGTAGCCATAATTTCTTAAATAACTGCACAGATTTATGGAAATTTTATTCACTATGATTCGTTTCAATTATACTATAAAGATAACTGAAGAAATTACATTATTATAATTATAACAAGAAAAACAATTGCCTTGACATGTCCAAATGACTATTCGTTTCCCATCAAACGAATACAATGGTTCTGTGAATTAAATTAGGGTCAAGTCTGAATTTAAATGTGTATAGTTTGATTGTAATGTCTAGAAACTAGTCATATAAAAATAATTTATACTGTTATACATATAACAGTAGATATGACGCAACTGAGAACTTGTTTGAAGTTAAAAAGATTCGAACAATGTCGAGAGTTAATAGATGTATCAAATTAAATACTTTGATTATGTAATTGTTATAAATTAGTAGATTTTAATATGTATATTGCTAAAGGAATTGTTTTTGGCTACTCATATAATTTAAAGTATGAAAGTTGTGCGTATAGCGAATTACACCATTAATATTATTTCACCATACAACAATTTCGTGTTTTATAGTACTCAGAAGTTTAATGATTTAATACGTGTAAATCAATGTTGAAGACATTCATGTAATTGAACAAAAATGTAGAAAAAATGACCATGTCAAAAATATTACAAATATATCTAAATATTAAACATGTACATGCAATAACGCAATAATTTGTCAAACATTCAAGACATTAAAATATATAAAATACACTTTACAATATTAAGATAACTGATGCAACTACATACATCTAACAACAAAGCACTAACAACATAAACATTAGTACATCAGAATTTATTCTATTCCATACGAGCTTAAGAAAAGGAGAAATCAGAGTTAACTAACTTAATATTGACATGGATATTTTCTTTTTACAAGTATATATTTGAAAAAGAAAGACTTCCGAAAATTCATAACATAAAAGTATTAAACACAAATCTGTCAAAATGATCAAGGAATAATGAAACAATTACCAAGAAAATATTAGAACCAATAACAATTGAAATATTAACACATAACTAGCCATATGATTCATTCGAAAATTTAAGCTTGATCTATTGATCCCATCTACTACGAAAATCCTTAGAAAAGAATATTTATAATTTATTGATTGATTTTGTTATCACCATCTTTAACATATTTAACTAACATCCTATTCTAATTTACTCCATTACAGTCTTTATTTTAAGAAATAAAGTTGCGAAACGGTCCAAGTTGTGAACTCGCGCGCGAACATAAGAGGTTAGCGACTACTTAAGTACCCCTCTAATGAACGCAAAAACCAAAGAGACACTTGTACATATAATTCAGTTAAGAACGCGATCACTTTAACAAGCCAAACACAAAAAAGCTTGTACTACAAACGTGTTTATGCGAGGAGAATAACGCCGACGAGACTACAAGCATCTCCACTCGCAATGCCTAAGACCAATTAATGGGAATTGCAGACGTATCGATTGATGTCGTCATGATTGATGATCAAGATACGAAAAGCTTGATAAATTATCACGGATTGATCAGCGTAATTAATACACTGCCGTGATACCAGACGCCGTCATAATTATACGACGGGCAAAGACGCGTGTATTATTTTGTCGTATTTAGATGCCGGGAAGATTGCAATCAATTTAACCCGCCGCCGTAGAAGAAAGCGCTCTACGAGCCACTCTGATTGGTCCAACCGCTTTTCCAGTGCCCGTTTTGCTGAGCCAATAAGCATACGTAATATTGTGCTTTATCTTCCGCGTTTCAATCCGCGCAGGCATTCCCGCGGAACCGATTTTTAGCAACTTTTTCAACGGAGAATTTCTGAATAGACGTAATTTCGGTTCAATTAATGCTCGCACGTGCGATGATTATACAATTTACATAACCGATTGAACTCTGGACTCGTGAAAAAAATTCGCTATTGTTCCATGAGTAAATGTTAATCATTGTATTCACGCGTTAGAAAATTTAAAAGGTGTAAAATATATCTGAACAGCTCTAGACCGATTCCTCTGATTTTATAAGCTATTATGCAAATGGAGATTAGCAAAAATTTAAGGAAATATTCCCAAAATCAGCGGTTAATGTAAGATTTAAAAAACGTCATCAACTCCATAATGTCGTTCGTAAAAGCATTAAATTCACTTTTTTCTTAGAATCCAGACACAATATTCTCAAGTGTATTTTGTCAACAACAGATGGAATTGTATAACCGTCTATAACATGCAACGGAAATTCTTTTCTGAAGGGTGTCGCAAGGTTACAGTCTGTCAAGAAGTCGGTATAAATAACCAAGCAAAACAGTTCCAGCAATTTTTTCAAACTACAGCAAAGAAAAACATATTAACTATATATTCCCATACAGATCATCAATGTCATTCATTACTCTCGCGTACTTTCAAGGCAACTAACATTTAATAATAATTTCACACAAACAGTATCTCAAACCTACACACATGTTACATTAATTCATTAAGAAAAACAACCTACAGTCACCTTGGAAAACAAATTAACCACCAACCATAATTTAATACAATAATAAATGCTGCAACACGATAATGAATCTCCAATAAATGTCAAACGAAATACAAGTCGATTTCGTCTCATAGCAACACGACGTTCATCACTGTTTCTTAATTAAAATAATTAGAGAAAACGTTAACTTAAATCGTAAAAGAAACGATGTCCTACGAACCATTCAACGGAACAACTAAACACGTTCGCTTACCTATGATCCCTCAGGTGATCCTGCCGTCGGAAAGCCTTTCCACAAATGTCGCAAGAGTACGGTCTCTCGTCGGTGTGCGTTCTCTCGTGTATCAGCAGATTGTAGCTTTTGGTGAACTGCCGACTGCAGAACTTACAGATAAACTGCTTCTTCGGCCTGGACGCCCTGCAGGTCCGTGGTATACTCGATTCGACCGTAGTGGCCGTGGCTTGTACCGATGAGGACGACGACAACGACGAAGAGGAGGACGAGGAGCAGGCCGACGACGTAGCCGGGAACGTGAACGACGAACTGGCGATCTGCGACAGGGACGTCGATTGGGTCACGGTACTCGCGGACACGGTGTTTGCACGAGTTCCCTCCGTTATCCGTCGCAATAGAGTCTCATGATTCGCGGATGTCGTCGCCACCGATGTGTCACGCAACAAGACTTCCTGTTCCTCGAGCAAGGCCAAGTTCTCTTCTGGATCCTCGCCAAAATCCAACCGACCCTCTTCATCCTCCTCCTTCAACAGCCTCTCCGCCGCTAGCTGATCGTTCTTCGACGGGGACGTCAACGGATTAGTTTCCAGGTCTGTGCTTATCGTTGCACACCTCTGATTCCCGGCCAATCCCGCGGTTTGATTGACACCAGGCGCGGTGCTGCTTGCGTGAAGACGATGAAGGGTTAAATACGTCTCTAACGCCTGAAGATTTAAAGCGGCGGCGGCTGCGTGTCCGGGTGGTAGTAAAGCAGCCCTCTGAAGGGCGGCGAGCAGAGCACCTTGAAGACCAAGGGCAACACTCTGCAGCGTAAAACTCGGCAGGGTGGCATCGGCGACACTGGCGACGTCACGTAGTTCCGTGCTGGTAGACGTGGACGTCGAGGAGGACGACGGGACCATTACGATTCCCCGCTCCTGGTCCTGGTCCTCGTGTTGCTGTTGCATCCTCCCCCGTCGCTGGTAGTGTCCTGGATCAGGCTCAGGAACTGCCGACTTGTTGTCGGCACCATTGGCGAGGGTGGTCTGTGGGTTTCGGTCGCTCCGGGTGCGTGTCACTTTGTTGTTATCGATGCGTTAGTCCGATTACGTTCACTAACCGATCGATAGGTCCAGGTTGGATGTAGGGGGCCGCATGCTCGTCGGTTCCGCGGTTCGATCGCGAGCTGTATCGCTTGGGGGATGCTCGCGACAGGGTGGACGAATGATAGAACAGCAAAAGAGAAGAGACGCGTGCGACGATGCTGACGGTGCGGAGGCGCCCCGACGACTGCTCCTGCCTCTCGCTGCTGGGCACTGCTCGTGGAGACACCTGGTGGCAGGTATCCGAGGCGAGTTGGGACCGTCCGCGCGGAACGGGCCCCGGATTCTGGAGAGAGAGCCCCACAGCTGGCCCGCAATTGCTCGCCGTTTCAGCGTAAACGGCGTCGTTCGTAATCTCGCGTGCACACGCATGACTGCGTGGCGTGGCTGCACGCGTGCGGGGCCCCAGCGGTTCACCGGATCGTCAGGGACAACCCCCTGCTTACCCCCTCCGAGCGTTATGATTTAATTCTTCTGCCGTTGGGAATTATGAAGCTGATGCATCCGACGCTTTTATGGATCGCTATCGAGAATTTTCAGGTGGATACTCCTTTCCTTGACTTTTTTCTCGATACGGTATTCAGGGACGCGGATAGGCTGGGGTACGGTTTAATCACTGAACACTGGAACAGTACCAAACCCGTCGAAATAACGGATTGTAAGTCCCTTATTTTACAATTAGTGAAATGTATAATAGTGCTTTTGGTGTTATATATGTTGACTTTTAATTTAGTAAATTCTATATTGTGAAATAATGTTAGAATGGTATTGTGAACTTTGTTTCTGTGTTACAAATGCTGAAAGTGATGACCATCGGTGGCGATACACTGTATAAAAGGAGAAATCACGGATTGTGTTGCTGTTTCAATCTCTACTGACGCGATGGCCATACAAGCTGTAATTATTCGATTCTTTATGTCTTCCGGGGAGGTGGATTGCTGTTGGTAAACGTTTTTTTTATTTCATTGTCCATTTCGGTGCTTCATTATTTTTTTATGGTTAAGTTAACTTCAAGGTTATAAGTTAGACATAGTTGAATGCATCCAAACACGTGACACATGATACAATAGAAAAAGTGCATGCTGTCTGGCAAAAAAATACCGGCAATGTGAACTTCGAAAACAATGATTATAACAGAAAATATCCTATGTGCGATACTCTCCGTCTGAAGCTATTCAAACCGTGTTTGAAACATTTCTCGTATCATTAAAAGTAAAGAAGATATTTAGGTGTTTGGTCTTAAGTGGGACACCCTATATAGTCGACGTTGATGTTGCTGATGCTAAGCGCATGGAACATATACATGTACCTATGCGTTTAAAAGATAGCTTTGGCTACAGCTTTATGTTTTTTGACATATCTTTTCACATAATTTGCAGTGTTTGTTATTGTAAGCTACGAAGACAAGATGTTGGTTCACGATGATTGTTGTTTGCAGAGTGAGTAAATAATTTTCGGCAATATGTTCGGCTCATGTGAAGTGTTCCTTTTACATCTATGGTTTAGGTTGGTGTCTTTAATGGATTGAAACCCAAAATGGGAAGCTGAAAATAAAAGGTAGCAAGTATTACGTAAGTAGACTTTAATTATTTCAATGGCATTATCCTATACTGCCTATAATAGAGAAATTGTAAAGATGTCTCCGTACCTTGATAAGTAAGTCAATGTTTCTGACGAAAAGTTTCTGTTAAACTATACTATTGTAACTTGCATATGTACATAGACATTTATTTCTGATCATGTATTAATTCCACATTGTTTAATTAATTCAGGGATTACATTGCTTACCTATATCCGACTTTTCATTACATACACTTATTTCTTCCAGTCTAGTTGTTGTACCGAAGTAACCAACGGATCTTCCTGCTTCATTATTATTTGTTATCAATTATTAGGTGCAATAATGTGCCGAGTATTTATATTCTTTCATTCAATTAAACATCGATATATGAATGTATATAATATATGTACATTTAGATGAAGTACTGTGTAGCGAGTACAGGTATTGCTAAACAGTATGGCGAATCTGAGTACTGTTTTCTGATACACTGTCATCTGGAAATTATTTAAGTACCTAATCATAAAATGAATTATGCGTTAATGAAAATTTGCAAATTATAAACGAAACTACATTGTACGTAACAGAAATTTTTTTCTGCAACAATAGTAAATACTCAATGAGTGTTCGAAAGCTCCTCAGGAGTGAACATTAAATATTTCATAAACTAATCTATCACTGTGCTAGACCTCGTTAAAAATTCAGCGTTACACATGTAGACCTCTCCTTGTCAGTGTCGAAAAGCCAACGAACACTCATCGAAGATTTAGTGTAAATCCTATACAGTCCAGGTAAGAATCGAATTTTCACTGCTTGTTATTTACAATAATTAAGTTTTCCATAAGAAGTATACGTTTATTAAACTAAAAATTATTTTAATTTGCGTAAATAAGAAAATTATTCCACAAACCATTATTTTTATCTCAGTTACTGTCTACCAAAGAATTATGAAGTGGACTCAGTTACTGTCTACCAAAGAATTATGACTTTAGGAAATTATAATAATACAAATAAAATTTCTACACTCTATGCAAAAAAATATAGAACAAAGGAATAGAAAAGTGATTCATGTAGGTATGTTCTAAATATCTAACCTATTTAACGATATTTTTATTACTGTAATAATTAGTATAGATGAATAAACAAATTTTAATTCGAAATTTCATACATAAGCCTGAATTTTAAACTAACAATCTAAGTCAAAAATTACATTTATTACCAGTAGATAAGTCAGTTACGTCCATTTAAATTTATAAACTATTTAATGACTTGGCTGCATTATTATTAATTTAACCATCTGTTGCCATATCTCATTTTTCAATCGTAACTGTCACACTGGGCCAATTTGACCCAATATTCAATCAGTTATTGTTTAAAAACTACTTATTACATTAAGTCGCAATAAATTCTTAAATGAAATTTGACATTGTAGATTATATTTTCATGGTTAAAAATTAGCATTGAAAGTTACATCACGTTTAAGAAAATTATTGAAGAGAACAAAATTTGGAAAAAAAAGTTTTTGAGGAACTTGAAATTACTATAACATGGCGCCAATAGTATCATTTTCAATCATTTTTCAAAGATATTTTACTTCAAGATCACATTCAGGGTCGATTTGACCCATTGTGACAACAGAGGGTTAATTAACAGTAAGTCACATATTTCCCCTGCGTCACATTAGACACTGTACACATTTACGTTACACATTAGTCGCTCTAGTTCGTAACTGTTCTATCTCCACTAATTTTTGAACTGAGAAAATTGATTTTAATGTTTACGAAGTTTAATATTATAGAAGCAGCAAAATAGTGAAATAACCAAACACACTATAATATCAACTTTGAGTTATTTATAACACTATTTAACCAAATTTTATCTTATTAGCAACATAAATTTGTAATTGTTGTAAGAAAAAATAAGGAAAAAGAACATTCAAAGTTTCGGAGTTAGGATTTAAAAAAATATTTGTTGTTTTCTCGGTTGATTTTTTTTTTATATTATGGTGAATTTGCATTCTTTGAACTAATGAGACGCTCGTAGATCGATTAACTAAATTTAAAAAAAAAATAGAATTAAAACAATTAAGAACTCGGACGACGATTTGACGCCCGATAGAGTAACTTAAACGTCCGCGCAAGACATCGCCCTCGCCGGTGAAGACTCCGCCTGCGCGCATCATTCGTAGCTGAAAAAAAAAACGATTTTCGCAAACCTTGTAAGGAGTTTCATTCAATTACACGGCCGGTTAGAGCCCGAAGGTTAAATTGGTTTCTATCTAGCGACGTATCGGTAAATCTCCGTGCTTCTGTGTTCGCGGCTATCATTAAAACGTCGCGAATTAAGAATTACGAGGTACTTACGTAACATTCTGTAAGCCGTGAAAGTAATGAACAGCAAATTCAAGCATGGCGTGTGTCACCAACACGATACGTCCGCCTGGCAATAAACAATGTAAATACGACGTTTGCCTGTCCCTTTCCGTGCTATTCGCGCGTTTACAGTCGAAATTTAAGAATACACTGTCACGATGATGGAAACGTGTGAGGAATAGGATAGAAAAGCAAGAGTAGAACCGACGGCGACGGGGAAATTGTTTATCTCGTCATAAATCATTCGATACCTTGGTACCGTTAATGGGGTTTGAGTAAGCTGCGATGTGCTAAGTTTCCTTGTATCGCTGACGTCGATTTTTAAGGTTTCAATAAGATGATATTGATATAGATAAACCTGGAAAGATGAAGATGAAAGTTGTGTGAATATAAGGTTCTTACAATTAGTAAATCATCGGACACAAGAGGTTGCAAGACAGAACCGTGTTTGGAATCATCAGCAACAGACACTAAGACTCCCTCATGCATGAGATAGTAGCTAGTAATCGATTACAAGGTTTCATATGTTTTTATTTAGTTTCCTGTGTTGAAAGGACAATTTGAACAATAAGAAAAAAATACTACAGTTACTAGCTTTTCTGAATCAAGGAAAACTTTATCAAATACCATAATTAATCCTGCTCATAGAGGTTGATGAGACTATAAAGAATAAATAAAAAAAATCAAGAATAAGAATATGTAATAGAAGAAATCACTAAATGATTAGCTATTGAACATCTCATCTGAAAATCGTTTAGGATAATGCAAATTGGCCCCGAGTGTATATTCTATTATACTAAAAACGATCTACATGTGATATTTTTTTATGTTTTACTCCTGTTATTCACGTAATTCTTATTACTCTAATGTGGAGTAACGTTAGTCTTAAAGCTATTGTACATTGAGAAAATTAAAAAAACACTTTATTAATAAATTAACATTGTATTGAGTCCCTAAACTGCTCCTAAGTCATTTCGATATTGGCACTGCGTGTGACAACTTTTGCATACACTTATCGAACACGTTGATCATAAATAAAATCTGAATTGATAAATAATGATGAGAAGCATCCTTCGTGCTCTTCATATATACATATGTATTTTCTTTACTTCTTTTTCCTTATAGATGTGTCTTGATTATGCTTCTTCACCATACATGTACCTTTGCTCCTCTTTTTTTCAGTATGGTATACGTGATTAAAATATTACACATCAAACGTCATTATGTTCAATTCCGAACAGCCATTTTAATTCTTCTTAGGTTTCTACGAACAATCTTTACCGTTTTAGCAAGCCTTCAATGGAGTCTTCATATACAAATTCTCTTATGATTAAAAGAAAATAATATAAAATAATCTACCTAATACCTTATATTGTGTACTACCTTTTTCCATTTCTTAAACGACATAAAGTAACAATGCTTTCATTTACAATATTTTGTTAGACTGAAATAGTTTTTCCTTTAAAAAAACTTGTGTCTACAATGACCTAATATTCCACAAGCTTCATATTTTTAAAATGTTATGAATAAGATATACGAAATTGTTTGTGACAATAAAATTCTATTTTTTCTCTCTCTATTTTTCAGACTAAAAGTGGTCTTCGCTTCGAAAACCAATGCTTCTGGTAAATATTAAATAGACATGTGTGAATATATCAATATATGGCATGTTAGTGTCCCATCTAAATCGAAATTCTACTTCATATCCATTTCTGGAAAATTGCCCATAGCAACTGGAATTAAGGACTTGAAAGGCAAGTGCCAGATGTGAAGATGTTCAACATAATAATGTTCAACATAAACAAAAAGAAAGTGCCCGTTAATTTTAGTGCTTACATTATTTATCACTCGAACGCTATAGACTTTCAGCGTATTCGATTATTACCTATTTATAGGCAAAATATATGGTAAAGAAATGCAAGTATAACATATAAAAATGTATAGCACTTTCATCTTTTTCTACCACGGCGAAGCATTTACGATTTTAGCTCTACCTTGCGATAACCCGCTAAAATCGTAAATGCTGCGATGAAAGCTAAAATAAATTATTCTAGCACTAACAACGTCTGTAGTGTCTCTCTACCACCGTATTCAGCATGGAATTTACATCATGTTCCACTAAAAAAATTATTGTTCTTTTTGGCACTGACATCGTTTACCATCTCGAGTCTTTAGTTTTATTAGGTTGTTGCATATAAAGCGATGAAATGCGTATATTCGTTATGTCTTTTGCAATTTAAAAATAAAAAAAGTATAGCGAAATGGCACTGGTTTAAGTTCAAATTAAAGTTTGAAATTTGCTGAAAAAGATGCTATAACTACTTCATCAATCGTTTTACTATAAATATGATATAAGATGGATCGTGAAAGAATGGGGATAATGGATCAGCATCAAACATAACTGGTTCTTTTATTATTAAAATCTAAATTTCGATTACAAGATACAAATTTTCAAAATTCTCCATGTGGTCGACCAAAAATATTTATTGAACAGAATCACTCGAAGACTGTAACAGAATCTGATACATGCCAATGTGTGCGAGATATTGCAAACAAATTAAACTCACATTATACGACAGTTTCGCGACATTTAAAATCATAGAAAAGCTAAAAAAAATGTTTAAAATAGATATCGGATGATCTGATGGACGTGCAGAAGCAACGCGACATTTGTTCATTTCATCTAGAAAGCCTAATAAATTCATAGGGGAAACCAGAGACAAACGTAAACATTTGTCTTTCCGAGTCAGTAACATTAAAATTCTGCACAATTTTTTTAAAATTCGTACACTATGACAAACCACAATTATTGGACAATATAATCAAACCTAAAAATTTGGAATATGTTACACCAGTGTTTTGAAATAACACTTTTTTTAAAATGACTACCCTTAAGAACGATTATAACACCGTACCTCATATGAAAGAAAACAATTAATAGACAAGATGCTTTTAAATGATATTTCTGCTTACTCTACAGAGAGATATAAACATGAATATGAACATAATACTACATAAAAAATTTCAAAGGACTTCACGAAATTTAAACAAACAAGTACATAATTGAATGAGATAATACTAATGATTTTTGGTACATTATATCAAGTGGATAGTCGTATTAGGAAAACCGTTTACTGCTGCGTGCTGGCGACAACTGAGGTGAAGTGTAGCTAGAATTGATATATAAAAATAGAAGGAGACGATTGTTGCCCGATTGGCATTCAATTTATAACACTTGTTACATTCGTCCCACGTTACGTATGTCCTGACTATCCCCTGATGCAAAATAATTACCGTGATCACCACCATAAAACACCCGGTCCATTGCAACCCCCGTCACAAGACGGAACTCTCCAGGGTCCTCCGACGCTCTCAACCCCAACTAGATGATCCGTTTCCGCCCTTCGCGGGGTCCACGTCCATCCCAGGCCAGGATATCCGCGGCACCGCGCCCTACGTGCCGCCGTCGCGTTACGACTCGGCTGCAAAGCCGCAACAATTTACGACGGCAATTAATGCGCGCGAGTAAACCGTGTATAGCGCCTATAGTTAGCTGCCTCTTCGGCACGACGCGACGCAACGAGAAAGAAAGACGGACACGTTCCCTGCACGCGCTGTACCACGGGGAGAAGCGAGCCAGATGACCGGCGTGGAGAATTGGAAGCGTAGAAAAGAAGAAGAAGAAGAAGAAGAAGAAGGCGAAGAAGAAGAGGGGACGAAAGCTGCTGGAAAAGAAAGCAAGACAGCGGGTCCATAGACGGAGTGACGGAGAAAGCGCGCGGAAAGAAGAGGAGAAAGAAAGAGGGATAGAAGAAGAGGAGGCGAACACCGAGAGGCAGACTAAATAATATTATAGGTGGTGTTCTCACGGTCCCGGGACGCCCGCGGGCCCAACTCGTCACCCCCTCCGCCCCTTCCTCGTCTTCTTATTCTCCTCTCCTCACCGGCCCACCTCGTACCTTACCTCTTACTCCCCCGCGCGTGAGTTTCGCCCACGCTATGGGGCCCCACGGAGTCGTCAGGCCACGTGGGAGGGAGAAAGAAAGGGCCCCGAGAGACCGGGAACGAGTATGGACGACAACGGATGAAGGGTCAGGGTTCAGCTCGCGCTCGCTGACCGTCACCGTGGACGGTTTTCTTTCTCTCTCTCCCTCTTTCTTGCTCACTCTCTTTCTCTTCGAGGCCATCATCTTCCTCCTCAGTCTCGTCGCGTTAACACTTTCCTCAGACACTATTTTCACCGTTGAGATGCGAATTTTTCAGATTTCCTCGGACGTCAACCGCTACGGGTCAGCTTCTCGCGATGGACGCGTAGTGTCTGGTTAATTAAGTTGCCCGACGATGGGATCGAGCAGTATGCCCCGTTCACGGCCAGGTGATTGAAGGAAGCTCTTGACACGCTTTCCTGAGGAACGAGACGGATAAATGGGTCCGAGGGTGTGTGAATGAAGAGTTCAGGTCCCCGCTAGAGGAGACTATGGAGAGGCTGGATTCGAGGCTCACGGACACGTGGTATGTGATACGTAGAACGGCTCGCTCCAGGTTTGGATACGCGTGTTCGCGAGCCGAGCGATTTACTACGGTGGAACTTAGTTCGTATTCATTTCGACGAGGTTCGTGTATTAGTAAGCATTATACAGGTTATTAGAAAATTAAAGAATCTGGGACTTTAGACGATCATATTAGGTCATTTCATATGAAATTAGGGATTTAGTGATAGGTGAATTTGACGTTACTTTTATGAATGAAAATTATTAACATGACTCTTTTGTTTATTCTAAAATTACACTTTGTACTCTACTCATTTCAGGGTGTTATTTAACATAACAACAAAATCAGTTATGTTAAACACAAAAATAATTAATGAAGGGTCAATCACAAGGGACATCACTCAAGTGTAAAATGTCGATTTTAATGCCACTTGGTATAGTATTGTGAAAAGTATTTCACACGTATTTTTTTTTGTAGCTGCTGACATTCACATATAGGAGGTGAAAACAGCGCTCAAAACCGAGGCTGAGAAATACATTTTTCTAAATATCTTGCAAAGTATTTCACGTAGAAATGCTGTTTTTCAACAAGGATTTTGTGTTTCTTAATAATAAAAATGACTGCCTAAATAGTTTTTCGAAATACCAATATGTTTAAAGAATTATTTTTTATTTTTTAGTATTTTGAAAAACCATTTAAGCAGTTATTTTTATTATTAAAAAGTACGTCATTTTTCTTAATAAATGTCTTCCCTAAGTCGAATAAGTTATCAGACATTAGAAAATGTGTTTTTTACCCACGTCTTTGAGAACCGTTTTTATCCTCTAGATGTGAATTTTATCAGCTACAAAAAAGTATATGTCAAATATTTTTCAAAACACTACCCCTGCACTACGACACAAAAATTGGTCTGTTACACTTGAATGATATCCTCTGTCAATTTAATTCCGTTATGTAAGCTGAATTCGTAAAGAAACTTTATAATAGTACATCATTTT